TTTTTTCTTGTCTCAATTACCAACTCTGTGCTTGTAATCTTTCTCCATAAAATTCCAATAGCGTGTGGGGGTTTTGTTTTTAATTCGAGCATGCTTATCCCAATCCTCCATCTTCCAGAAGAAAGCCTTTCTCCTGCACTCTTCCTGTGTCATTCCTCAAGAGTAATAGAAACGTTACCTGTCTCTTCCTTATTTGCTGCAAAATTTAGGGACCAGGAAGAAGATCATATATGTTTTCTTAAAATCAATGGCCAGCACATTACTGTAAAACCTATTGATTGAAAACACAGAGTATAATGTTAGTCATTTAGTCTGTGAAGTGATGCAATAAGGGAAGAAATGTATCCTTTGACTTCTGCATTAACCTTTTATTGACTGCTTGCATACCCATAATTAACACACACTTTAGCTAAAGTGGTTAATTTTAGCATAGCGACCAACCTTCACTAATGTAGCTACAGACCCTGCTCGTCCAAATGCAGAGCAGCCCTGGGGGAAATCAGGGGGCAGTGGTGCCTGTGTGAGTTACACCTGTGGGGTCCGTTGCTGTGCCGTCTGGTCTGCTGATGGGCCAGCTGGCGGGACACCCCCAGCTGCATCCTTTTATGTCACTAGGTCACTCTGAGAGAACCCGTCCTTAGTAGAAAAGACTTTTTGGAATCTAGTCAAGCCCTTAGATTCTAAATCGTATGAATTTAGGAGGGGGGAGAGAGAGTCTGTTTTCATTTCTTCTGCTACCCAGGCCGTGCCTTGCGGAAGGGGCTGCCTCTTCTGGCTCGCTCTGTTTCCCCGCTACAGCCCAAGAAGGCTTCAAGGTAGGGTTTTATTTTTTATTTTTATTTTTTTTTAGGACAGGCGTAGACAACAAGCTTCAAGAGGCGGGAAACTGCAACCCTTGGACCAGTTAGTTCGAATTTGTAGGCATTAAGAATGGCCTCCTCTTCTTGAGAGCACTGATTTTAGGGAACTTTAAATTTTTTCTTCAGAAAGATCATCCAGGTCTAGTTATGAAAACAGACTTATTTTCATATAAAGGCTAGTGTGGGTGACGTCCCGCACTCCTTGACTTTCTTACTAGAAAATTATCCTCAATAGAACCATCAGTTGAGCCAGAGATGAAGGCCCTCGGCTCACCTCTGCACACGTGTAGAGACGAGAGGCAGCTGAGAGGTAGGAATTATGGACAGGACATCAGCTAGGAAGCCTAACTCAAGCAAAAACCAAGGTCCACGAAACAAAAACCCGCGTGTACCTCCCTTCAAGTAAGGCTTGCTCCAGCCCCCCACACCAGAACCCCGTCTCGGGTTTGGTTATCGGGGACGGCTCCAGCTCAGAGTGACCCTACGGAGTGTGGACCAGCCCAGCACCACCTTCACAATGTTCCCTGAGTTTGAGCCTCTGTCTCAGTCCATCTCAGGAGAGGCTTCCTCTTTTCAGACCCTCCACTGTACCAAGCATGTTGCCCTTGTCCAGGGACGGGCCCTTCTGATAACATGTCCTAAATACATGAGAGGCATTCTCGTTTGCCATCCTTGCTTCTAAGAAAGATTTTTGTACTTCTGAGAGAGATTTACCTGTTTTTTTCCTGGCAGTCCATGGTATAGTCAGTATTCTGCATGGGAGCAAATGACCATGGCCCTTCCAGATAGCACATCCTTATCTAAAGTTTACAGACGGGGAGAGGAGAGAGAGTCTTCTCCCTCAGCTCCCATAAAGTCCTCTGACTTTCTCTCAATTGCCCCAGCGTGGGTCATATGCCTCCCTCTGAGGCTTAACCAAGGCCCTCCGTGAACATCCATATGAAGACAATGTCATATCATCCCATGGTTGAGCCCCAGGAAGGAGAGACTCTCCATGCGGAAATTATAGAATCCTGTTGGGACAGGTGGGAGTGGATATGGGCAACTATATGCCCACCATTGTCAGCATTCCTAAAGCATTCCTTAAGACAGCATGAGGCTCCTTTGTTTTGTAAGGAATTCTAGCGTATGTATGCTGAGAGACCATCCAGTTTTATTTCCTGTCAATGTAGATGCAATCTTAAATCACCACCATTTAGACAGTCAACACCAGCGCCTTTTATGAATTCTAGATCTCCAGGACCACCTGCTGAGGCTCTTTGAAGATGAACATGTTAGCCCGTCACCCGAAGGCTGTCGCAGCTGGAATGTATTGGTCTCAATGTCTAGGACTGTCGCATTTTTGATAGGGTTCCGAGCCAGCCACCATTTGACTCAAGCCAGCGAGAGCTGCTCCTGTGTGTCCCTCAAAAAGCCAGTCCAGAGGCTGCCCACCCAGTTAGGGGGGGCGGGGCGATGCCCGAGGTCCGCTCTCTAAGCATCTCGCCCCTGTCGCCAGAATTACGACAAGGAAGAGTAGTAATGCTCATCATTAGTGCACGCTGAGTACCGAGGACACGCCTGGCAATTTCTGAGCACTTGCGTGTGTTCATTCATTTTGATCTTCACAGGAGCTTCGTAGGAAAGAGAACAACCCCCCTTGACGAGCTGAGACTCGGCCAGGTTAAGGAATGTGCCCAAGATGTGGTTGCCGGCAGTCTTATAAAAATGACCCATGAGAGAGACGCAGCAAGATGTGAGCAAGCAAACGAAGGAGGACTTGGCAACAAGCCCCCATCCTGTCTCTGCCCTCCCAGAGAGGCACAGGCCTGGCTGGGGCAATACCATTCACACTGGGCGTGGGCGTCCCCCTCTCGTGGGTCAACGCATCACTTCCAGCAACAAGCCTGCTCCCGAGCCTCATTGGAGCTCTGCCATTTGGAAATTGGCAAGGAACACTGGGCATTGGGAGGTGACGAGATCTAGAAAGTTCTGAATGAAGGCCTTGAAACCTCCAGCGAAGACTCTTGGCCCCGCGTCGGGTCAGTCCACAGGTACAACGGCTGGCCCGTCGGGGTCTGCAGGGACAGGAGGGAGCTGGTCCCCACACAAGCCCTTCTCGAGTGACAAGGACAACGGCAGAAAGCCATGCTGCCGCTTTGCCCAGAAGAAAAGCCAGAGGCCTGGGGAAGCTCTTAGAACTTGGCCTCGGTGAACCCCTCCTGCCGCTCTTCCCATTCCTAATACTTTCTCAAAGTGAGGGGGCAAAACCCAGTTGACAGGTGAAAAAGCATCTCTATTGACTTTTTACAAGCCTGATGATACTCTAGGTGGATCGACACTTAGCACATCCCTTGAATCTGCCAGCCAGGATAATGTGTGCACGGATCATTTATCCACTGTGAGCTGGAAATGCTCTATTTGGACTAACTTTCCCTGCCTAGTGAATTGAGCATTACTCTCGGATTCTGAGGCAGAGAAAGCGCGATTTAAAAAGCTTTGCAGGGTCTCTTTGTAATTAGTCGCAGCTTCCCTTGAATATTAATTTCCCCCCTCATCCCTTTCATGTGATTTAGAGGCTGTCTAGAACAGGGATCTACCCTCCGCACCACGACAGTACGTGGCTGAGCCTCACCAACCCCTTATGAAGGAGTCTGCAGATCGTACCCTCTGTTCTTCATGCAGTGTGTGGCTTATCAGTGCAAACAGTTTAATATTTATGCTAAGAGGATTGTCAAAAGCAGCTTCTCTTGCTTTAATTCTTGTTTTAAATAAATAATGAGAACATTTAAACACATTACTCTTCTTGGGGCCCCGAGGTCAACTAATCTTATTATTTATGAAGTGATGTGCTACATAATCGTACTTAGCGCATGTTAACAGACGCTATTATCAGGGCCTGATGCGGGGAGCCGAAGATATATTGGAATGTTATGTGTAACGTACGACAGATTGAGTGCACAAGATGCCGGGATAGCAATTAACCACACGCAAAAATAGGTGTGAAGTTGAACTATGTTTTCCCACGGGGATCTCCCTCACCATTAATAATTCCCCAGAGAAGCAGATGTCTTTTAGTTAGGAAGCTTCTCTCTCTCTCTCATCCACCTGGGACCTGGGCTGTGGGCCCAGGAGTTTCCATTTTTTGTCTTAGCCCTCCATAGTCGGAAGACGAATATCAGGCGTGACCACTTTCCAATTTGATTTAGAGAAAGTGGAGGAGGCAGGGGCAGGGGCAGGGTCCCTCCCAAATGTGCTCCGAATATTTCTTTTCAGTATACACATTTTTCTTTCCACGTGCACCAAGACAGAAGGGCGCGCCTGCGTCACAATTTGTGTTGCCTGCTCTCTGAGTTCAGCTAAATAAAGCTACAGCCACAGAGCTTTCCCAAACTAATTTGAAATAAGCTGGTCTCCCTGAGAGATAGATGCCTGCCAAAGTGTGAAGATGTTGCCTCAACTTTTTTTTTCCCTACATGGCTGTAATTTAGTTGCATATGATAATTAATTTCTGTACTATTGATGAATAATCCATTTAATAAAAACTGTGATTTAAGTGTTTTCCTGAGGGACTAACTCTTGCTAGCCTCTTAATTTAATTTTGTGGAAGTTTTCCCCACCTCTCCATCAGTGGAAATGATTATTAACCTCTATTTGCATATAGCCTTCTAAATTGGGCTCTCCTCCGAGTGCCTCTTTCTGCACATGGCGAGCTAGGGACACTTGTAAATCTCCAGGATCTCCAGGGTCAATCCTGGCCTGTAATATTGTTTAATCTACTCTTGGACATTTTAATGCAGGAAATTCAATTTAATCTCTCCCGGTAATCTAGTAATACACTGAAATCCCACAAACATTTACATCTGATAATGGCTTAATCACACACTTTAAATAACAGTTGAGATAATGAAAACATAATTCTCCACTTTAAAGGCAGAGGAGCTGCCTCTCCGTGGCGATTGGCTCCTGGGAGGCCACTCCGAAAACAGTCCTTCCTTGTTCCCAGCCCTGATTGTCGGCGGCCTTACGCCCTCCTCGCCCTTCCTCGCTGTCACAGGGAAAGGCTGTTTGTAGAGCAGTGTCCAGAGTTGATGAGGCTTCGCACCCGTGGAGTAATCGGCTGTCCTCCCTCGAAGTAATCGGCTGTCCCTTCTCTTGCAGGTGTCAGTCCCGAATTGCCCGGACGTTGCCCGTGGATCAGAAGCCAGAGTGCAGGCCCTACTGGGAGAAGGATGACCCCGCCATGCGTCTGCCCTTTGACCTCGCAGACATCATCGCGGATCTCCGAGCTCAGCTTCTGCAAGCAAAGCCCTAGAAAGCGCACACGTGCAGGAGGAAGAGCGACAGCTTCTTCCTCCAGCTTCCTCCTGGGCTCGGGCAAGGCCCGTGTGGGCAGACGTCTCTTAGCTATTAGATTGTAGAACCTGGGACCCAGGTGGCAGCAGCCGCAAGTGGAGTTCATGGATATTTTTGCAAGTTTTTCAATGAGACAGTGTTATAATCTACTTTGGATTAAAGAACCCCACCCCCACCCACCACCTGCAGCAAATAGGAGCTATTTCCTACTGAGAATTTTAATGTGAGGAATTCCTCCCTGCCACCAACCCAGCCTATGACAAAGCTTGACTTCCTCTGATCCTCCCTCCCCGAGCTTTTCAGAGACTCAAGAATGTATGTACGGTCATCCTTTAAGTGCCATGCCATCCAATGTGGTGGCCACTAACTGGATGTGGCTGCTTAAATGTATTTGGAGTGAAAAGTTAAGCCCCCCATTTGTACCAGCTGCATTCCAAGTGCTTGACGGTCACGCATGCCTAGTGGCTCCTGTCTTGGGCAGCGGGGACACAGGACACGTTGGTACTTTAGATTCTCTTCTCCAACTCACTGGCATCGTTACCCCCAAAAAGCCCAAATCCCAAACCCAGCCAACTGCCATCAAGTCAAATGTGACCTTTAGTGACTTTATAGGATGGAGTCGAATTTCCCTTTTGGGTTTCTGAAGCGATAAATCTTTAAAGGAACACAGAGCCTCGTCTTTCTCCCATGAAGCCACTGGTGGCATTGAACTGCCGACCTTGCAGTTAGCAGTCCATCTCGTAACCCCTACACCACGAGGGAAAGAAATGCAGAGAGAAATGAATCGTGAAAAGGTAGCTTCCCCTTCCCTAAGCCAACCTAAGTGAAAGGCAGCGATGAGGCGGTGTTAACAAGTGAAGTCAAGGTGACGGCCATCAGGTCCTTCGGGAATATCCCTCATCTCATGACAGAGCAGCAGCCCACTTCCACTGCTTCATGGATGTAACCGCATAGTACAGGGTTTGCTATAATCCCCTTGGTTCTGTGGAATGGTGGGTGAAACTGAGACTTGGGGCACCCCACTGCCCATGATGACAATGGAACACCGAGGGACGTCGTAGAGTAGAAGTTCAAACCTAGGCTCTGGTGTCAGAGTACCTGGATTAAAACCCCCTAGCTCTCTGACCTTTGGCATGTTTCCACACCCCAGTTTCCTCAGAGGTATTTCGAAGACACTAAAGGCACCAACTCACAAGGGCGCAGAAGGGAGATCACCCAACTACAGTCCTGGAACACTTTCTGGCTGGATGTTAATTATCCAGTAAATGTTCCTGTCATTACAAGCCCCACGAATAGTGTGTCATCACACGACAAGTGAGCTGCTTGGATGTAGACCTTCTCCTCTTGCTGCTGGATCCCTGTGCCGCTTTGTATCTTGTGACATCGTTAAAGCAGCTCTTGCCCGCTGGTGTCCCCACCCCCACAAAACTTGGAGAATAGTTCGTTTCTCTCCCAAACCTGTTGGCGTCCTCTGTAGTTGGCCACAGTAGTTTGGAAGCTGAAGCGCTTTTGCCCAGTGAGAGGCACCATGAGAATCAAACCCTTGCTTGCTGTGGGGATCGCAGCTGAGAACCACCTTCCAGAAGGCCAAGTGTGCATCAGCTGGAGACTCAAGTCTTTCAGTCCTGGGATTCAAGCCCTGATGTCTTTGAGCCTCAGCTTCCTCATCAGTAACGGGGAGCTGCAACACTCCCTCCCTGAATGACGCAGAGTACCAGGCTGTGGGCGGGTGAGGGGTCAGTGTTCGAGTTCGCCCTCCCATGTTGTCTTGTTATGTAGACGCATTTCATTAGGAGCCAATATTTTGAAATCGGGAGAGTTCACACAAATACAAGCACCTGCGTTCTCTTTAAAATCTAGAACACCTGGCAGCCTTGCGCCTCCACCCTGGCACAATTCAAGCAGGGTCTTCCTCACTCAGGTGGGGTGGGGCAGCCTGCTAGGGTTTGCCATCCTTCCTCTTGCTGCCCTTTGTCTTGCTGGTCAGCCTGCCCCTTTGTGTCAGCCCTCGCAAACCTCTTTGCTAGCACCCTTGTTGTAAAACACTCTCACGTTTTTCTGGGCCCCCCCCCCCAATCTCTGTGTGTACTTCCTAAAACTCTGTTCGTGGACTGCTTGTGTTAATACATCATGTTCACATGAGACGTGGAGAAACTACCATTATTAAAAGGATACACTATGAAACTGAGCAGCGTCCAATGTCGTCTTCTCGCACCGCAGTGGGCTGGCTCTGACAGGCCGGTGGGTACCAGGTGCCCTAAGTGAACCCAGAGGGGACACTCCCCCCTCCCCCCACTAGCTTTCCCTGCGCATGAGCTCAGGGGGTCTTGAGTTGGCATGCTCCTGG